GGATGTAATCGATTTTCTCCCTGCATATTTCCTCTGGCAAGGGCTATGCATATAATGGCCACTTGTGTTGTTGGAAAAAGGTATTTCCAATGCCTAAGTCATTAGTCTTGCAAAATTCTATCATGCTATCTCTGGAATAATTTCTATCACCACGGCTATATTTTCCAACTAACCAGTGCTTCTTTGTTTCCAACTTTTGCATTCCAATCACAAGTAATTATCAATACATCTTGATTGGATGTTTGGTCAATTTCAGACTACAGAAGCTAGTAAAAATCTTCAATTTCTTCACCTTTGGCATTTATGGTTATTGCATAATTTTGAATAATAGTGGCATTACCTGGTCTCCCTTGTAAATATAAGGATATCATCCTATCACTGAAGGCATTGTACTTCAGGATGGATCTTGAAATGTTCTTTTTGACAGTGAATGTGACACCATTCCTCTTCAATTTATCATATTGGCATATTAGAGCATATGATTGTCCAAACCAGAATGGCCAATATCATTCCATTTCAGCTCAGTGGTGCCTATAATATTGATCTTATGCATTCCATTTCATTTTTGACCACTTCCAATTTGTTTAGAGTTATAGTTTGTATATTCCATGTTCCAATTATTAATAGATATATGCAGCTGTTTCTTTTCATTTTGATTAGTGCCACATCTGAAAATGAAGATCCAGAAAGCTTTACTCCATCTATGTCATAAAGGTTGACTCTACTTTGAGGAGGTAGCTCTTCCCTAGTCGTATTTTGAGTGCCTTCCAACCTGAGAGGCTCCTCTTCTGGCATTATATCAGACAGTGTTCCACTGCTATTTATAAGCAGCTGATTTTTTCAGAATAGACCACCATGTCCTTCTTCCTAATTTGTTTTGGTCTGGAAGCTCCACTGAAACGTCTCCACCATGGGTAACCCTGCTGGTATTTGAAATTCAGTGTCAAAGCTTCCAGTATCACAGCAACATGAAAGCTACCACACTATAAAAAATTGGCAGATAAGTAGTGGCTAAGGATGGTAACAGGGATTAAATATCTCCCTTTGTAACCCATAGTTTGTTCACCTCAGAACATTTTGGTCTGGGTGAGCCTTTGCTAGAGGTATTTTCCTGTGCTTTGTTGGATATTTAGCAGCATCACTGGCCTTTGCCCACTACATGGTGGTAACATTCTCCCCTCTCACCCCCACTCCCTGGTCATGGCAACCAAAAATGCCTTCAGACATTGCCAAGTGTCATCTGGAGGGAAAACTCACACCCAGTTGAAAACCACTGTGTTAATCTATTTAGTTTTGCTTTTAAATTTGCCTACTTCTCAACTCTTAAGACAGTACCAGTACCAAAATTGAAATAAACATTTAGTGATAGGTTGCATCTAATTACAGATGTAACATATATTACAGGTGAGCTTAGTTTCTAAAAACATGTACTACTCACATTTGGGCAATTATGTCATATTTTTAATGCACCAGTGTTCCCAATGTCCTCTGGGAAACATCCCATTCTTAGGATTCCCTTTATAAAGTGAAGCATTATACTATATTTTCTGAATTCAGATTGCTCATACTGGATTTTTCTAAAGGGGACACACACAAACCGTACATCTATTTTGGGTATAGTGTTAGTTATCAATAAAGGAAGAAGAGAACAGGGCTAAATTTAGATTATCTTTGATCTTGGGTTTAAAATTCTCTAGAGGGTATAAAGTTGCCCTGAGGAAATTAGAGCAGTAGTTGATGGCATGAAGAATTTCTTTTGCATGTTTTTTAATGATTTCATTGCAATGACAGATTGGTGGCTCAGGGAAATAGATGGGAATTTGAAATTGATGGAGTCTGATTTAAACACTAATTACACTTTAATTCCTTTTCCTGAATCTTTAGTCTTTCTTCTTTTAATTAAGGTTTAAAACCCACTGTGGCCCTGTGTCAACAGAAGTGTAGACGAACTGGGACTCTGGAGAGCAATTATTGTTCAAGTAACTTTGGTAAGAAATAAAAACCAGACTTTTCTCTTTAATCAGAAACTTGAGACTGCATGCTTCATCTCAAAGTAATGGCCATGAGTTTAATGGTAGAGGATCAGTGACACTGTTTACTTAGCCAAGGAAATATTTTCTTATACATCAGGGTATGTTGACTTGTATTGCTAAAATTATTAGATTTCAAAACTGAGAAAAAAATGGATACAGAATATTTGTTTGTTTTGTTTTTTCATACAAACTTAAATAATTTGACTCCTAGGGTACATGAAACTTTTACTCTGTGTATTCTGGCTGGCAAAGGGCGGAAGAAACCTATGTGCTTTTTTTCCTCACATGTTTTTTCATGTACGGAGTATTCTTTCACACATCTGTAATTCAACTGAAGGAAACTAGGAACATATCCAATTACAATCAGAAGTTAGCCTCTCCAAGAAGAAATTCAAATATTTTCTCCATAGTGTCCTTCCAAAGTACTAAGTTAAAGCTTGGAAATCTGAAATCTATTTGGAAACTCTTATAAATTAGAACCTGAGGAGATATTGCTTAATAATTTAGAATTTCTAAGTGCTTTATCCAATTAAAAAATTGCACCCTCTGTGAAAACCACTTCAGAACAAAAGATTCTTAATGTAATTATATTGGTTATTTTTAAAAGCAGCTTAAAAGGAACATTTAAAAAAAAAAAATCTTATCAGAGGAAGAAAGTTGCTACAGCCTAAACAGGTTAACTAAATCAAAGAGCCCCATGAGAAGAGGGTTTGCTTGCTTTTTCTGTATCTTGAAGTGGTAACTGCAGTCCTACATGAGCTATGTCATAGTGAAGGCCTGAAGACATTGAAGACTCTGGAGCCCCGGGTCTTGAATGGAGTTTGTGTGCATGCTGAAATTCAAATAACTGGCCCACAGATTGCAAATAGGTCCAGGTGCCACTGCTAGCACATCCACTTTACAGTTTTCTCTAGGAAATGCTTCAGGAGATCTCTTGTCCCTTGGGAACCACCTCATTTCACTCTGCTATATTTTTCAGTGAGCACTCATCACCAGGAATCGATGTAAGTCATGATCAGAATTCTGATGTTATGAGCTTTGCATACTACATAAGAAGGGAGTCCAAAGCTTGATATATTCCATTGAGATGGCATTCATGTTTGTGACAAACTGACTAAGGACTATCACTGGTGCCCACTGGTTCTCAGCCTCGGCTAGTGAATTTCCCTGGGGCAGTTTTTGGTCATCACAGTAAGTCAGCTTCGACAGGGCTGATAAAAATTCTTTCCATGAAAAGCTAGCCCTGTGCCACAGGGAACTGTTTTCCCCAAAGCTGAAAGTGCGCCTTTGAGAAACACAGCATCTTTCCTTCTGTGGCTCAGTGGTGAGACTCCTTTCACTACTAAGTATCACAACACTGAAAAAAGAGTTACGTGATGAAAAGCAATAACATTTTTTTTCTTCACAAAATTAACAGTATCTCCATATATAATTTAGGAAAAGCAACACAATTTTTCTATATTTTTTAGAACAAGAAAATGTTTTAAATTACACCTCAATTTTATACATTGACTTTTTAAATGACTTTAGCAGAGTGGATAAGGAAAAGAATGTTAAAGACTCAAAGAAAAATAGAGATTTACTGATGATCAGAGAAAAATGGGTATCTGAGGGATGAACCCGAGTTCGAGGAGAGGGGGAAACTAAATAAGAGGAGGACAGATTTGCCACACACAGACAGGTGGACACAATCATACACCTAGACAAAGGACTTAGATTTCAGTGGCTCAAACTCCTGTCATATCCAATCAATAGCATCTTAGCATGATATTACTGCCTCTAAAGATTAAAGGTCTTATTGAGTATTCATGGCTAGAAGCTCATAAGCTTGTCTCTTATTTGGTAATCGATCCATGTATATACTCAAATATTCTGAAGAGTGCCCATCTCAGCAACAGACTGCAGGGTGGTAGGTATTTAGTTACTGACACCTAACAACTGGGTAACATTACAATTCCATAGCCCTTTCTTTTTTCCTTTGCCTGAATTTTAGTGACAATATACAGGATTGAATCTGAGAGCTCTATTGAAGCCTTTTCTTTAACTTCAAAATTTTTCATATCTGACACTTACAAGAATGTAAAATTGCCTTCAGTTCTGCTTACGTTTTCCTTCACTGTCATTTTATCAAAAAATGTTTTGCTCTACAGTATTGGCTGGCACTGTTATCACAACCATCACTCGAGGTGGAAGCCTGCATGCCACGGTCTCCATCATCAACATCTATAAAGAGGGAAATCTGGCAATTCAGCAGGCAGGCAAGAATATGAGTGCCAAGGTCATTGTGGTCTGCAAGCAATGCCCTCTCCTCAGAAGAGGTGAGTAAGGAGGAAAACTTCAGTCTTTTTCCTAGGGGAGGTCAGGGACAGAGAAGGCACAAGTCATGGAGAAGGTCATAGATCTTTCCATGGCTTGGCTACTCAGTTGTTGTGTGCTGTTGAATTGATTCCAACTCATAGCCGCCCAGTGTGACAGAGTGAAACTTCGCCAGGGCTCTAACAAACCCAAAAGCCATTGCTGTAGAGTCGATTCTGACTCATAGTGAGCCTATAGGATGGCCCCATAAGGTTTCTAAGGCTGCAGTCTTCACGGAAGCAGACTGCTACATCTTTCTTCCACAGACAAGCTGATGGGTTCAAACTGCTGACCTTTTAGTTAGCAACCAAGCTAACCACTGTACCACCATGGCAACCACTGTACCACCATGGCTCCTTACCAGGGCTCTGGCGAAGTAAAAGCAGGGCAAATATATTGGGCACTTCTGGTATGATGAAGGCCTTGGATGTTGGCAGAATTAAGCTCTAATCTTAGTTCTTGATAACATGTAGAATTGATGAATGAACAGGATGAATCAATCCAAGAAGCATGTAAAGCAGGATCAATAGGGAAAAGACACACAGGGACCGCTTCAGGGAAAGAGATTTTAGACAACTGTAGGTAAGGTGCCAATGCTATGTTTAGATGGAAATATCCAGCAAGCAACAGGAAATGCAGAGCTGAAGTTCATTAGAGAGAGGTCTATATGGGCTAGAATTAAAGGTTTGGGAATCATTTGCAGAAATGGGACCATTAAATCTAATGACAGGAATGAGTTTATTAAGAGAAATTATGAAAAAAAGAAAAGTGACTCCTAAGCCAGGGCCACATGACTTTTTTGAAAAAAAATTTTTTTTTCAGCTTAAAAGGGTAATGGATGTTCCATAGTTTTTTAAAGCTTAAATAAGTAGAGAAGGGCATAAAATACAGAGTGAAAATTTTCTTTCCTTTTCCCCAAAGGTACTATGAAAAGTTCCTTCCAGGATGTTTCTATTCATAGAAGACATATGCACATACAGACATGAGCACACACTTACATAAATGGGGTCAGCCTGTACACACTCAGCTGCAACATTTTTTCACACCTAATATAGAGAGACATCATTCCATAACATCACATACAGAGTTTGATCTCTTTCTCTGAAATTGTAGTAATGCATAGTATCACTGTTTGTTCATAGGATTCCTCCATCCAATCTCAGCCCATCCTGTTCCTCTCTCTTGTCACAATCCTCTCCCACAATCAAACCAAACCAAATAAAACTTGCATAGACAGAGATACAGAATCTCCATTTCAAAAAATCCTACTGTGAATTCAGAGGAGTCTTAGAAACCTCACATTGCTCAGAGGGAATACCAAAGGCTATGAAAGAGATAAATACTTCCCTCCAGAGCTCCTAAGGAGTGCCTGGATGGCGCAAACAGTTGAGGGCTCAACTACTAGCCAAAAGGTTGGTGGCTGGAGCTCATCCAGACACACCGCAGAAGATAGGCCTGTTGATTTCATTCCTAAAGGTCACAGCCTTAAAAACCCTATGGAGCAGTTCTCCATACACATGAGGTCACCATGAGTTGGAATCTACTGAACAGCTAGGAATAGCAAATAATGCACATTGTGAGAATATAAAGTCTCATAGTGATGCTAACAGTCCAGCCTGGAAGTGACATCCACCTCTCCGGCCTACCAAGCTTTCACTGTCTCAGGACCAATGTGATGATAGAGGAGAGGATTATGCAAGAGAGAAAGGAAACACATATCTTCCTTATAACATACAGAAAGAGGAGGAGAATTGAGGAGGTAGTAATACACATGGAAGAATATGACAGGTTTTGGAGGCCATATAAATCTTCAAAGTTGAACCCAACACACCTTAGCTCAGACCCTAGTCCAAGTCTAACCTAATCAACATACTGATATATGAAAAAATAGTGTAGCAGATATTAATATACTTTAATACTTATTTTTTGGCTGGAACTATAAGGCAAAGAAGTGTATGACCCTTCCACATCCTCAAGAAGCTTACAAAGTATAAGTACTTGAGATGTTGAGAAAAGTTCAAAACAAACAACAGAAGGGTAGAGATTACTTACCAAATATGTAGAAGCGTGATACGGCTAAAGCCATCTGAAGATGGTACGTCAGGGAGCACCGGGGGGCCCTGGAGGGAGGAGAGCCTTCCACATTATCATAGAGCCTTGTTCATCAAAGGCAGTCTATAAATACATCAGACCTACAGCACTGCACAAGAGCTCTGGTGGCATAGTGGCTTAAGCGACAGCATTTGACTGCTAACCAGAAGGTTGGCAATTCAAACCCACCAACTGCTCCAGGGAAGGAATTGGGGAAATCTACTTCAGAAAATATTTACCACCTCGGAAATCCAGTGGGGGTCACTACGAGTCAGAATCAACTCTGTGGCAGTGAGTTTGGTTTGGGTTTGGTACAGCACTGCAGAGCAGAACAGCAATTCAGATATCACACGATCCAGGGTACTTGTGTCGGCAGAGATGAAATAGGTTACTCAGGTAAATTAAGCGCTTGGTTGATTAGAGCCTTAAGCCAGATTTTAGTCTAGATAGAACAAATGTACAATGATATCATTCATAGACTTGAACTTTATCCAGAGGTAATTTATAGATTATAGTTATAGTTATATCAAGCCAACACACATAGAGAAATTTTAATTTTACATTCTGTGTTCTTCAGGTCTAAATTACATCATTATGGGCCAAGTTGGTGAAGATGGGAGAGGCAAAATCATGCCAAACAGCTTTATCATGATGTTCAAGACCAAGAATCAGAAGCTCCTGAATGCCTTGGAAAACAAACAATGTTAACGGAACTCTGAAAAGTCATTCTGTATTCTGTCAATGTCTTTGAAAGATATATTTTCTATCAGTAGGAAAAATAAAAATTAAAAAACCTTAAGAAATTAAATACTGAGCATTCCAATGGTTGGACTGATTTCCTCTTCATATGATGTAGGTGTGAGACCTCCTGGATGGCTGGTGGAGTTCTGTGCCTGCACTAAGAGGAGCAGAAATCTGATAGGAGCCTTAGTGCAGTGATAGGAAACTAAATGTATCGGGCGTTGACAGCTTGGAAGCAGTTTATTTATACATCTCTGTAAAAGGGTTTTTTTTTTTGGAAATGAGTTTTGTGAAGATATAAAAAAGAGATTTTTATAAGTGCAATATTTATAATGATATTTGTTTTACCTTTAAGCATTTGTTCTGAAGTGTTGCATTCTTCTTTTGCATTTTTTAAATCAATGCTTAATAAAATATTTTTAAAGATAATAAAAAAAAAGCCATTAAACTTGTTTTTACAGAAAGTGGAACACTGTAAAAAGAATAAAAATGAAACATATAGTTACCTTCAACTCAGTTCTGACTTATGGCACAACCTACATGTTCCAGAGCAGAACTGCACTCCATAGAGTTTTCAAGGCAAGATTATTAGGCCTTCTTTTAAGGAAGTTCTGACTAGGTTCAGACTTCCAACTTTTTGGTTACTGACCGAGCATTTAACCATTTGTGCCACCCAGGGACTCTGAAAAGAATAATTACAAAACCCATTGCCATCCAGTCGGTTCTGACCCATAGTGACCCTATAGGAGCTCTGGTGGTATAGTGCCTAAGGCATTTGACTGCTAACCAGAAGGCTAGTGGTTCAAACCCACCAGCTGCTTCTTGGAAGAACGCTGAGGCAATCTACTTCTGTAGAGCTACTGCCTCAGAAACCCAAGGAGGGGTCACTATGAGTAAGATCTGACTTGATGGCAGTAAGTTTTTAGGGTTTCAAAGGCTGTAAATCTTTATGGAAGCAGACTGCCACATTGTTCTCCTTAAGAGCAGCTGGTAGGTTTCAACCTCTGACCTCTTGGTTAACAGTTAAGCACCTGGCCACTGTGCCACCAGGGCTCCTGAAAAGAATACTCCTTATTTACATATAAAGTTATCTTTGTATCAGTTTACACTGTGCTAAAAGAATTGGCATTCTAAAAATTCTAGGCACTAAATGGGCCCAAAAATGTAATTAGACTGTAATTCTCTGCACAATCAGACTATTAAAGCTAGAGTGTTGTCCCTTTTGGATCTAGTCCAACTCCTTCATTTTGTAGTTGACACTGAATGAAGCTCAGGTATATTTAGTTACCTGCCCGGACACACATCTAAAAGGCAGAGCAGGAATCAACCTTAGGAGTCTTAATTCCAAACCTTGATGCCACCAGACAAAGTTCTTCCTACCCCAGTAACATGCCCTCTTACCCTGACTCACAGACTTCAGTACCTGTTTTATTAGCCTAAATCATAATTGGGTGTTTTATAGACCTTGAAATTAGAAGTGAGCCTGATGTTCCTACCCTGTTCATTCCTGGTTAACTGGATCAGAGTTTGTTAAGTAAGCTGCATTCTATCATTGCCTCTGAAAAAAATGTATTTTCACTCTGTCGTGGGAGAACAGCAAAAGCACTCCCATTATTCACACAGAGCTGATTAAAATGCAGCTGTACTTGCAATAAGTTGTAGCAACTAGCCCTCCAGGAGGTTGCTGGCCAGAGGTAGAAAGAATATCAGGGATGAACAAAGACTTGGGTCACAGGGTCTCCCATGATAGATGCAAAGTTTTAGAGATAAGAGAAAATACTTTTTGGGGTGAAAACAATAATTACAGCCTGAGGGATGATGAGACATTCAGAGAATAGTGAAATAGAAGTTCCAAAGGAAAAAATCTGTCTGTTTTGACAGCTGAATGAACATTAAGGAAGTAACAAATGTGGGCTGGCTGACAGGGTTGGGAATCCTTCCTAAACACTCCCACTGAAATGCCCATCGATGCCAGAAAATTCACCAGCTGAGAAAGTGGATGACCTAGGGGACCCAGCTGACAGCTGAATGGTTGGCTTCACTGGCCAGCACCAAGTTTTAGAAAGGCCCTCTCTGCCAGCTGGACATTACAGTGCAACTGCTCCCAGGCAAGATGTAACTATGAGCTCTAGTTGACTCCAGTCTTCTCAAGGCAAGTGATTTGCTTTTAGAATGCATGTTATGAGTCTTTGAAGTGATTACTAAGGATTTCAGTTTTACTTCTCACTTAGTAGAAGCTTCTCGCTGGTGCAATACATGCAGCATATTTGCAGGTATTGGCCTCCTGCTTTACCAGTGGAAAGACTTCCATAGGTTTCTGAGTGGGGACTTGAATGATAGCAAGGGAAAAATGCCACATCACTGGGATATCTGACCCAACATCTAAAACTATTCAGATTTTTTTTTTTAAAAAAATAATTACAGGTGAGTCTAATCCACTTGATGGTAAACCCATGTGTTACAGAGTAAAACTGTGCTCCAAGTGCCTCTGAGTGTACTTCAACAGCAAATCTTTTAGTTAGTAGCCCAGTGCTTGACCATTTGTGTCACTCAGAAACTCTGTAGTTAGGTGATTAGTCCTTAACAATGCATAATGCTAGTTTCTTCAATTAATCACAACATAGCAACAGTCAAGCTAAATAGTGAAGCTGCTCTTTCTGGCCCAATAACCATTCTTTAATTTTTTCTTATTTATCAAATCATCTATTTTGACTGAAATTCACTTTCCTCAGTTATAAATTAAGGGAGTTAGACTACATGACTTCTGCAGTGCTCTTAATATTTTCTGTTTTAAGTTTTGTTGTTGCTGTTACATTTCCTTTAGAGAATAGTTGATAGAATTCTTGTTTTTTGTTGTTAACTATTTATACTTGGGAAATCAAATACAAATGAAAAATGATTAGATAAGCATATGAATAAATCACAACATATTTCAAAATTATTAACCAGACTTTGATGTGTTTCAGAGGGTTCAGCTGGCTTAATTTTTATACTTTGAATTTAATCAATTCCTGCCACAAAAATATAAGAATCTCACAAAGTCCCCAAGTCTTAAATTCTGTTGTATTACTGCAGTGTAGCAAATTACGTGGTATGACTTTTCTAGCCATAAGTCTTTATAAATTCCATGGTGGAATTTGCTGTGAGCAACTGAGAAGCTCTTGATTACTAAAGTTATCCACCTGGGGTATTTCTGTTGCAAGTGGCACAAAACAATGTTCTGGGATGTTCGCTCTCAGGTGCTTAGAATTCTAATGTTATGATTTGTTACTTTGGCCAGGCTTAAAAGGAGCCCTCCTACAGGCAAACGGAGTCTCTCTGACTGCTGGCTGAGAAGGACATGCTGCTGAGAGAAACGCACTCCTGAAAGACACACCCTGCTGAGAAAGAGACACCAAGAGACACGCACTGCTGGGAGAGAGACTGAGCATTGTTCCTCAACTTGAACTGTAGCCTGGTACTTCCCTAATCTGTGAGTTCTGTGTGGCTACTGCAGCGAATTATCAAACCCAGTAGAGAGGTGGTGGGTGTTGTGGGAGGAACGGTTGGTATCAGGGTTGGTGAAAGGGCTGGAGGGTGGTGGCATGCCTGGCCTTGCAGGAATAGGCCTTGGGCTACTGATGGTGATTCTGTCTTCCTCTTGTAGGGTTAGAGGAGGTCAGAAGTTGTGGCCTCCCAGTTTATCTTATAAGAAATTATTTTTCTTCTTCATGTAGGAAAGAGCTGTCAGGCTTTCATTATATTTTCTAGACTATTGTTGTTAGGTGCTGCCTATTGGTTCTGAATCATAGCAACCCTATGTTCAACAGAATGAAATGCTGTGCAATGCTTCACCAATCTCACAATTCTTGCTGTGCTTGAACACATTGTTGCAGCCACTGTGTGTCAATCCATCCCATTCAGAGTGTTCCCCCTTTTCTGGTGTTTTACCAACCATGACATTCTTCTACAGGGACTGATCCTCCTGACAGCATGACCATAGTAAAATAGATGAAGTCTCACCATCCTTGCTTCTAGGAGCATTCTAGCTGTACTTCGTCCAAGACAGATTTGTTTGTTTTTCTGGAAGTCCACAGTAGTTTCAGTATTCTTCACCAACATCACAATCCAAAGGCATCAATTTTTCTTCCATCTTCCTTACTTATTGTCCAGCTTTCACATGCACATGAAGTGATTAAAAATACTATGGCTTGAGTCAGGCACACGTTAGTCTTCAAAGTGACATCTTTGCTCTTTTATACTTCAAAGAGGTCTTTTGCAGAAGATTTGGCTATTGCAATACATTATTTGATTTCTTGACTGTTGTTTTCATGGGCAATAGTTATGGATTCAAGAAAAATAAAATCCTTGACAACTTCAGTCTTTTCTCTATCATGATGTTGCTTATTGGTACAGTTGTGATGATGTTTGTTTTCTTTATGTTGAAGTGCCATCCATACTGAAGTCTTTTATCTTCATCAGTAAGTGCTTCAAGTCCTCTTTACTTTCAGCAAGCAAGGTTGTGCTGCATGCATAGCACAGGCTGTTAATGAGACTTCCGCAATCCTGATATTGCATTCTTCTTCATATAGTCCAGCTTCTTGGATTGTTTGCTCACCATACAGATTGAATAAGTATGGTAAAAGTATACAACCCTGATGTATACTTTTCTTGATTTTAAACCATACTACCTCCTCAAAGTAAAGTCAACCTTAATGATACGGATGGAGTAAAACTTTTGGGCCCTCCATTTGCTGATGTGGCATGACTCGAAAGGAGAAGCTAAGTAAGCTAATGACAAAAATCTTCTTTAAAGTAAAACACTTAGTAATCAAGAAATTCCAATGTGAATTAAATAACATTAGTCAGAAATGCCTTTTGCTTGAAATGATGGACACATATAAATGCAAACAACTTTGCAATAAAAGTAAATTAACTAGAAACAAGCATTGAAAAAAGGGTTGGCATACATGTTGAGAGAGAGAAAGATAAATATATTGATTAATATAGGACCTTGATAAGTTAGCCATACATGTTAAAATATCTAGGATAACCATAAAATAGTATTAATAGAGTATGAAAATTTTAAAGTAGTAAAGGAAAGAAAAAAAAGAGAAGACAAAATTAGAGAGAGTCAAATAAGGAAAAATAGCACAAAATATGATAGTAGTAGAAAGAAATACAAATGTATTGACAATTCCAATACATGTAACTAGAGTAAATATTTGGGTTAAAAGTCAAATATTGTCACACTAGATTAGAAAAAACATTCAACTATATGCTATTTTAAAAGACATCTAGAACAAAGACAATAAAAAGTAGAGTAAAAGCACAGAAAAAAATATATATATACAAATCAGGTAAACTTTAACCAAATTAAAATTGATGTGGTTTTATTAATATTAGGAAAGAAATAGACTTTAAGGCATTACGCAAAAGAGAAGATACAATTCTAAAT